TTAGTTCAAAATTTTTATCAAAAGAAACGCGTTACTGCTGCTGCTGCTGCTGTGGCTCTTGCTCTAGCTGCTGCTTCTGTTTTCCTTTCGCCCCCTTCTTTTGGGGTTTTCCCTTGCAGTTTTTCTAATAAATCACGGCATGGGTTGTCTCCTGATATGGGCGGACCTTTCGGGCGTAATGGTATTTTGATTTATGTCTCCACCAACCATAATGCAAAAGTTCTCAAATACACACTACCACGCATCCGGGAGGACACACCTATAAAATAAAACGAGCTAAACGTTTTCAAAATGTTTGTAAATATTTCAATATGTTTAATACTTGACCAACTGTGCGTATTCGTGATGTATTGTTTGCTCACTTTGTCCATCTTTATTCAATGAAATCTTAAAAGACCATTAAAAAAGACAAATTACATAAAATAATTAAAAAATGATTAATTAACAGTAATCTACGGTAGCTAAACTATGCGTACTACTATTTTTAAAACAAAAACTCCTTAAAAATGTCTGTTCTGTGCCAATAGATGAAAAGCTATTATAAAATATATATAATTTTTTTCTTAATGAATAAGAAGAATACTTATTTTTAACAACTTGAATTTTTTAAATAAAGTAACTTAGCTGTAGCAAAGGAACCTTAAACTGCATCCTGGTTTCATTATAAATTTGTATACTCCCTAAAAAATGTCTTTTTTTATTCAATATCACAACCACCGTAGATCCTCTTGGCGTTATGCAGGAAATCATCAACCCATTCTCAAGTGAAATAATTACAAAATGGCAATTACAGAAGCAGACTTTCCCTGTCCCTCAAATCCGAAGATTTTTCAGTTTTTCTTGGCAGACAGCGGCGAGGAACGCCCACCCACCACCAGAAAGCCAGATCCAGATTCCAGATCCAGAAATGGATGCGAGTGCGACGATGATGGCGATGAAGAAGCCGGCAACAGAAGCCAGAAGCCCGCAAGGACTAATGAGACTGCCAGAGGACGCAGGACGAGCGCCTGCAGTGCAAAAGTTTAGCAAAAGTGTCAGAAAATGTGAATGCGATTGTGTGGGTGGTGGAAGTGGGTGAGGGTGTGGGTGGTGGAAGTGGGTGTGGGTGTGGATGGGGTGTGGGTAATGTGCCGAGGTAAACGGCAGCAAACGAGATGAATGATATCTAGACGAGTGATGCATGAGTCGCCTTGGGGCGGGTGGCGTTGTGTGTGTGGGTGGGTGGGTGTTGGATTCCGACGCTTCATTCGCCAGGATATGTGTGCCCCGAAAAAAGGGGCGGCGGCGGGCGGAAGACACTGCCTTGTAAGCGAGACGCAGGCGTGGAAGCAGCAGCGAATGGGCATGCGAAATGCACACAAACAGCCTCGCTTATATACACACACTCACACGGGCGATGGTGGGTAGTGGGAGGGAAGGGAAGGGGGAGGGAAAACATATCCGACTCGAATCTTGTCTACAATAAATCAAATTTTATTACACTTTTCTTTATGCATGCCACAGGATATATGGCAAGCGTATGGCTCACTGATGAGCACACAAACACCCAGGAGTCGCACACACACACACACACACTGGCACCGAGAACCGAGATTTTCGCAAGCTCATTTAGTGGGGTTCGTCCTTTGGCGGGTGGATGTGGATCTGGGCGTGGGGTGGGATTATCACACGGATTGACATCGTAGCCACACGTTGCAAAAGGCTACAGTACGCGAGGACACATTTAAACAAGTGGCTATGTAAATGACAGTCTATTTGTGCATTACAAATTAGTTGATAATATATGATTTTAAATATGATCACTTATGCTATTTTTAGAAATTGTTTACCTTTTTGGATTACATTTGCCAAACTAAATAGGACTTTAAAACAAATATTTGTGAATTAAAATAAGTGGCAGTAAATATAAAATAAGAAAATAAATTAAAAATTAAAAATTAGTTGATAAGGACCGATTTTAGATATGATTACTTACGTTATTTCAAGAAATTATTTACATTATTGGATTACATTTGCCATTTTCTACCAGACTAAATCGGACTTTAAAATAAATATTTTTGAATTCAAATAAGTGGCAATAAATATAAAATAAGAAAATAAATTAAAAATTGGTTGAAAAGGACCGATTTTAAATATGATACCTTACGTTATTTCAAGAAATTATTTACTTTATTGGATTACATTTGCATTTTCTACCAGACTAAATGGGACTTTAAAATAAATATTTTCGAATTTAAATAAGTGACGGTGAATATAAAATAAGAAAATGAAATAAAATAAATAAATCGCTTTTACTGTGAGCCTCTTTTCACTTCCTAACCATCCGTATTTTTAATTTCATTTCATATTTGCCACTGTCTTGTGATCTTGACATTTTGTCCATATGAATATGAGTTCCTTGTCTGTTGCCTCAGGACTCAGGAGTTAACTTTGCCCACACATTTCGGGCGCTCGCACATGCCACCCACTTTCACCCTCCCCCTTCGCCCACCCCCTTCGCCCACCCACATAGACATAGAGACAGTGTCAGTGTCGGCAGTTTTGTTGGCTTATCAAAGAGCAAAAAAGTAAACCGTTATGTGCGATGCATGACACTTTTCAGAATTTATGTGTTTGTATCTCATTAAGCGGAGCAGCGGCAAGGGGCGGGGCAATGGGTTTTCGGGGGTGGGAGGTCAGCCCAAAGGTGTCCCGTGCGCAACTTTCGGAGGCAAGAAAAACCGCGCCACCCCCCCCAAAAAAGAAGCCATCAATGAAGCCGAACTGAAAACTGAGGCGGGCCAGAAAAGTTGTTTGGAACATTTTCCAAAAATTATCTCTTAACACAAATGTGACACCCAGCACATGTCCCCCAACCTCCCACACCCCCGGGGCACATCATATATGTACATTCTACACAGAAAAAAATTAGCTTATCGTTTTTGATACATTCAAAGTTCCAAAGGAATGGAAACTAAATCTTGCTTAAGACAAGAAAATAAAATAATACGTTTAACGTTGTGAAACTAAGTTCAGACAAAAACATATTAAATAAGTAAAAACTCAGTATATTGTTAAAAACGTAGTTTAATTAGTGTTTAACTTTAGTAATAACCTTTTAGATATGTAAGATTCAAAGCAACAGATAATGAAACCCAAAAAAAATATAATTAAATAAATTATATGATTTTTTTCCTGTGTATGTTAGAGCCCGCCCACAACGCGCACACATCATAAATTTTAAGTGAAAATGAATCCTTTGGCAATTGAAGTTTTCGAGGAGATTTTTGTTGGCGTCGGATCGTCATCAACGTCGCCCGAAAGAGAGGCAGATAGGCGCGCAGAAAGAGACGGGGATAGGGATATGGATATGCGTATACGTATGAAGTTGCCATCGGTATCTGGATGTCGTTGTCTTAATCCTTTGTTGCCCATAAATCAGCGAATCGCGTTCACATTCGCGCATGTTCCTGTTCCTGCATCGTCCTTTTCCCCTCTCCCCCCTTCCCCCCAAAACACCACCCCACGGAGTTAACACAGCCATGTGCCCATAATTCAGGTTTAATTAACTCTGCGTGTTTATTAGCAAATATTAGTTTACAATTTGATATGCCATGTTTTCCGGCACCATCGTTCCACAATTAACTGAGCTTTAGGCCGGGCCCAAAATTTGGCCAATTGGGGAGCAATTGAAAAGCCCGGCTAATTGCAGATTAGGCCACTGCCCAAGGCTGGCTAAAATACAACATGATTAGCTAATTGAGCCACCACTGGGAGATGGCATATCTAAGCTATGAAGAACATGCAAAAATTATTTTAGTTTTCAACTTGTTGATTTCGCTTTTATTACTGACTTTTTCAATTTTTTTAAAAATCAAATTTTAATTTAGAGCGATAAAGGTCTACAACTTTGAACGCAGATTCTACTGGCAATAAAATTGCCAAAAAATATTTTTAAATATTTTCATCAACCTAACTATAGTTAATTTACTATACACAAAGAAAAAAACCAACTTGTCATAGATCGGCTATTTTTTCATAAAAAAATTATCCTCTTTGAGGCATGAACATAAATATTTCCTTATATCAGATATTGATATGCTACACAAATCACATTTGTCACAATTATATTTTTAATAACAGGATTATATTTTTCCATATCCAGCTGATATTAATTTGTATCAGATTTTTATTGATCGACTTGTTAAAGATTGCAGCATGTTCGATAAACAATAATATACCTTAATATGCCAAAGTACCTTTATAAATCTTAAATACTCACAAATTGAAGATATTCAGCCAATCCATTCTTCTAAGAGACTTTTCGAACTAACATTTGGTATGCAAATCATACCAACGTGTCCTTTCTTATTGAAATGAAAAGCTTGTTTTGATGTGATTTTGATATATAATAATTTTCATGTGAAAAATAAGAAGACAATATAAATTATGTATTGTTATGTTTTTCTCTGTGTTTGGCAAATATTTTGATGTACATCTCCGTTTACCCTAAGTTTTCCTTTGCAAATCTGAAAAACCTTACGAAATAAAAAGAAACAAAATGTTTATTAATACTTACCCAGATCGTAAACCGTAAATGTTATTTGTAACTTGATTAAACTAGCAATTTATTTATGATGGATAACATAAGATGAATTAATTTATTTTTTTGTTCAATTTCAATCCCAAGTCATTTAATGTAGTATATAATCTTTTAAAAATACAAAAATAAATCCAAAACTTTTAAAAGTTTTCAAAGGCCCCTTTTTTATTCAAGGTAAGGTAATGGTAATCGTCTTTAGAAATTAATAAATCAAATGACCCAGCGACCAAAAAAACATAATAAAATAAGAGAATCACAAAACCTGTTTAAATCGGAAACATACAACATTTTTTAAAATCCTCATCTGCCATTATTACCTGGTGAAATTACTTTAGAATTGAGAATTGCCCACTAATTTGGAATCAAAGTTTTCAATTAGAGAGAAAATCATGTTATTGTATTTTGAATGCTGCGCCTTTATTGCGTTAATATAACATACACTTAAGATCTAGGGGGAAGGGTGGGGGTGTTACAGGATATATATAGGATTTGGGGGCGTGGCGAAAAGGAAGCGAACGGATTCGTTTTAAAAATAATATCACAAAAACTCAAATACAAGTCGTATACATAGTTGCCATATATCATAGATATAAATTATTCGCGACGAGAGATGACGTCGATAATGATTGCTGTTGATAATAATGAAATGTTTTACATTCTGCAAAGTTCCTCCTCCTCTTAGGTTTAAATCTTAGGTTAGATATTCAAGATTCTTAGTTATTGTTGAGATTGGAGTTGTTGGTATACATGGGTGTACATATAGTTCAAAGTGTATATATAATTTTTAAAATTGTTTTCGTATACATGCGTTGCTGTGACTACATTTTGATTTCGACTTTCTATACCTTTATGTAAATATTGATAATCTTTAGACGTATGGAAGGAAAGTGCTATTGGCTAAATATTTACATATACTGAATGCATTATTTCGTATGAGGGCTATATGCATCGTTAAAAGTTTCCTTCAACCATAAAATGAGGTTAACTTTGTAAGTGTTTAAGTTTTTACGTATACTGCGTTGCGTTTGTTTTGTAATTGCTTAGGTGTACTGATTTAATTGTTTTAGTTTAGCTTATTAGATTTTAGTATTTCGAATTTTTTGGCACGCTTTTTTATATTTTCTTTTTGACCAGGAACTGCCGCATAATAAATAAATAACGTTTGACTCGTTTGCAATGAGTGCATTCTATTCCGATTCGCACTCGAAATCCAATTTGCCACTCAAATCTGCCACTCACTCACTATCTCGCTCCCGCTCTCGTTCTCTGCCCACCCACCCGCTGTTTCTGTCTCTCTCGCCCCCATCCAGACCGAGTTTGACGAACTCGTGTCGTCGCCTTTCGTCACTCCGTTACTATGGCCGTCTCTGTCCAACGCGCCTTGATGGACAGCAGTTCGTCAAAGTGGTGGTAATTGAATTTCCAGCTAGCCCCCTCTCACTCGCACGTCCGACTGCGACTGTCCGATTGGGAAACAATAAAAAGCGGGCCAGCATCGCCATGACGTCACGAGAGAGGGGAAACCCAAAGTGGAGAGCGGCGAGACTGGGGAAATTCCTTGGCAAATTCAGCAAAAGTAGGGGAAATCCCTTTAAGTGTGTGGGTGTGCAGCGCTCGAGAGAGGGAGCGTCTGCAAGAGATTTGCGAGAGCGCGAAGTCGGGAGAGGAGAGCGCAGATCAGAAATCAATGCAGAGAAGAGAGCTTTCGGAATCTCGTCTTGGAGTTGGGAATTACAATAATCAATTTTTTGAAATCAGTTTTAATGTTTGCAAGCGAAAACCTCTCCTAGCGAACAGATCACTTTTCGGTTGATTCTAAAATGTATTTTTGAATTTTTCCTTGTGTTTGAAGATTTTAAATAAAGTATGGTTTTTAAAACTTCTGTCTAATAAAAAAATAGGAAAACATACTAATCCGATGCTCAAATCATATTTATATTTCAATTGAAAAAACCTTTTTATGTAGATTCTGTAAGTTTCGTAACTAATACTGAGATCATACTTAGACCATATTACATGTCTGTCTTTCTTGACTATTGTTTACCTTTTTTACGAATCTGTTCGCCAATAGAGTTTTCACTGCATTACTATTTGTATAAGATACCCAACTTCTCGCTTAGTTCTTGATGCTCCAGTCCGATCCCCAACTCCCACTCCCAGTCAACTATTACCGCACCTGCCGGAGATCCTTAGGCATTCTTGGAGGACAACTGCTTGGCCAGCTCCGTGTATTTGAGGAACTTGGACTGCGGACTCTCGTCGTAGGGATTGATGGTGGGCGACGGAGGGGGCTGCTGCGATCCCGTCGCCGGACTCCGGGAGGCCGACCTCTTGGGCGAGGCCATGGGCAACGACTTGGGGCTCTGGCCAGCCGGGGACTTGAGCCGGGGCGACTCCTCGCCCGCGTCCTTCACAAAGTGCACCTTGGACAGGTGGTGGCGGTAGGCGCCCTTCGATCCGAATGGCGTATCACAGAAGGAGCACTTGATGATGGTCGGGTCGCCGCCGGAGCCACCGCTACTGGCACTCAGGACCGCCTCGTTGCAGGCCCAGCTAAAGGCCACCAGGTCGCTTCCGTTCGCGGATGCGGATGAGGATGTGGGTCCGGCGGAGGAGCCGCTGCGAGGGTTCTGTGCAGGTGGATCCGTGGTTTCACACAGCTTCTGCAGCGCAGCCAGGGGATGGGCCTTTGGTTTCTTGACGGAAAGGTTGCTCGCCGTATTGCTGTTGTAGCAGTGTCCTGCAAAAAGGATCAATAGCGAACATTAATATTTTATTGCCAGCATTTGGAGAATGAATGGTCAGTGAAGATATGAAACTTTTAACTCAAGTAAGTAGTGAGTGTAAGGTAAGAACAAGTGTAAAAAGATAAAAATAATGTTTTAATCTTATTTCCATAAAATGTAAAAAATATTCGGCAAATAATATTGCAGATTTGTGGCTTTCGAAATAATTTTCCCATCAAATTTGCATAGCTTAATGTTTTTTAAAATGAATGCTACCGAAACTAGTTAATTGGCAATTGAGACCATAAAATTAAGTCGATAACTCAGCTTTAGATAACTTTAATTTTAAATTCGTCTGTACATTTCACATTTAAGCTTAACTTCGTAGTTTTCATAAAACTTGCCTAATTGGAAAACATATTACTTCAATTAGTATATTATTAGTGAACTAATAAAAATAAATATGGAATCTGAAAAGTAGTTGAACGATTTAAATACTTTTATTTCTTTTTATAAAGCTTATCTTTCTTGTTGAAGAATTATATTTTTAGAACAGTTTATAAAAAACTAAATAATTTCTTCAAAAAAGTACCTCTTCTTCCTGTAACTTGTGTTTCATTCTCCACCAACTTAATCACTCCTTCGCATTATTTTTACTTACCCGAGTTATTGTTGTTGTTGTTGTTGTTCTCCACTCCACTCAGCTGATCGAACATGGAGTTCAGGGCCAGTAAGCTGCCATTATCCGGTGCCGATCCTGCGGTCTGCGGCGCAGGAGATTCGCTGGCCGACCGAGGACTCTCCCGACTCGCCTCCATGCTGAACTCCTTCTTCACGTGGATCTGCTGCCGGGGACTGCAGTCCTCGCGCTCGCCACCCAGCGAAGGATCCGCCTCCGGCGGCTCCGCCTTAATGGTGGGCGGTGGTGGTGGGGGCGGGGCAGGGGTATCCGGTGTCCTGCGGGGCGTGGCCTGCTGTCTGTCCGGGGTGTAGGCTGAATCCACTCTGCTGGCCGAACTCGACTCGCTGGCACTGCGATCCCTGGAGGCGTAGGAGGATCGCAGCAGGTGCATCGCCTGGGCGTCCATCAGAGGTTTCGTGTAATCGCTGCTGTCGTCGATTCCCAGGCGCTTCAGGATGCTGGCCCCCAGCGGAGTTCCGGACTCGGAGTAGCCGCCAGGAGTCATGGCTCTTCCTGCCCTCGATTCGAAGCTCTTCTCGATGAGTTGCTCCAGGGCATTGAGGACCGAAGGGGGCTTCTCGCCGCCCAATCCCGAGCTGGGACTTGGCAGCCGCTCCACTCCCTGGTTGGACCGCCTGGGCGGAATCGGTATGCTCTCGCCCAAGCACTTCCTAATGTGCTCGACAAACAGAGCGGTTTCTATCTTACTGCCGCACTTCTCGCAGGTAATTTTGGTGGCGGCGGCAAAGTCCCTCAGCGGCTTGAGGGCCGAGTCCAGGCTGGAGTTCGAGCCGGAACGCTCGAGTTCCAGGAGCTTCCTCACCGGCAGCGACTTCTTGCGCTTCTCGTTGCGGGTTTGCCTGCCCCTCTTGGTGTTCCCAGCACCGGGAGCTGGTGGAGAGGCGGACGAGGTCGGCGACTCCTTGTAGTGCGATTGCTGGGCCATGTGGCTGCTCAACTCCTTGAGGGTGCCGAAGGCCTGGTCGCAGACCTTGCAGGTGAGCACGGCACTGACAGACGGAGCTGGCCCCCCAGACGTGGCAGGAGGAGGGGGAGCCGTGGATGCGGGCGGTGCTCCGCCGTTAGAGGGCCTTTCCCGCTCGTCGCCCGACTTCCAGGAAATGATCTGCTCCTGCGAGATGATGTTCGTGTAGTGCTGCGTCTCCTGCATGTGACTGGTCATCTCGGCAAGAGACCGGAAGCTCTGGCCGCACCACATGCACTTGAGTATCTGGCGGGTTTGCTCCGCGCCCTTGCCGAGCCAAACGTCCTGACCTCGCACCAGTTTCCTGGGCAGCGGCATTGTCTCCTTGATCAGCATGTTCAACTCCGACTTCGAGGAGTTCGAGGAGCTCGACGTGGAGCTGCTGCTGCTGGAGCAGGCGGAGTTGGAGGCGGAAGTGGGCAGCCTGGAAGGGGGAGGGGCGGTGGTGGCACCTGCTCCTCCAGCGGACGAGGGCGAGGGTATCTGCACGCCGCAATGCTGGGTCTCCTTCATGTGGGTGGTCAGGCTGGCCAGCGTCGAGAAGCTCTGCTTGCACCACACGCACTTGAACACGTCCTTCGCCGCGTCGGCCCCCTTGTTCAGCCAGTGGGACTGCCAGGCACTGTGCCGGCCTCCTCCTCCGGAGGCTCCGCCTCCCGACACTCCTGATCCCATGGAGGCTGGTATGCCTGAAGAGCTCCTCGAAGACGGTGGCGGTGTCTCCCGGCGACTCATCTCGCTCATCTTCTCCAGCGCCTTGCTGGCTTCGCTGGGAGCCATTTTGGAGCTGCCCAGTCCTCCTGTTTTTGCCGCCACGGCCGCCAAGTAGGGATTGATGGGGGTATCCAACTGCCAGGTGGCAGAGGTGACTTGTAGTCTGTGCATATACTCCTTGGAATCTTCCTGGCGGGCGGCGAGTCCTGTCCCTGCCGCTTCCTCGTGCTCACGGAGAGGTCCAGAGGTCCCGTTTCGCCCTGGACATCCTGATCGGGCTCTTGGTCCAGCCCATGCTCCTGCTCCTGCTGCTGTTCCTCTTCCTCCTCCTCCTCGCCGTCACTCGTGGGACGCTTTCTGCTGAAGTCCAGGGCCGGCGACTCGCCCTCCTCCGCCGCCTGCTGCGTCGCCTGCTGGACCAGGGAAGCTGCTGCCGCCAGCGGATTCGTCAGCAGCAGGTGATTCTGCTGAGCGGCGGCCAGGTAAGCGGCCATGGCGGCGGATTGGGGAGGCAGCAGAGCGGCTGCAGCTGCAGGTGGAAGTGTCGCCGTCAGGGGAAGACCCACGGAGTGGGGCGAGAGGGGCGTGGCCGTGGGCGTGGGCGTAGCAGCCGGAGTCAGACGATCGTTGGCCGAGCAGTGCGACTCATTAGATGGACATCGCACGTCGCCAGAGCCTGTTCCCGCTCCAGCTGAGGTGTTTGACTCCCGGGATTGGCATCGCGGGCTGGCCAACTCACTGGAATTGAAAGAAGTGAAAGGGGGGATTAAGAATAAGCGACTAACTAAATAGTAATGTGAGGACAATCTAAAAACACGGTGAGCAAAGAGATACCCAACATACATTTAATTACAATTCCATTTAAATGCAGATATGCAAAACATTCCAATATGCAGAGTAGGGTCATATATGATAGAATCGAAGCAATCACGATTTTAAAATATATAATGATATAAAATGACTAATTAAAAATTAACAAAGGCTCAGAGGCCCAAAGCCTAGATCTTTTCTTGATTTCAGAACAGTAAGTCAAAATTCGAACCAAAGTTTTCTTTAAGAAAGGTGTTTGAAGAAACCAAAATGTATTCAGCACATTTCTTGAGGTGCTTAAAAAGCTATTCCAAAAACATATGACGAGCATTTGCTACATTGCATAAAATCAAGAAAATCCATCGTATTTAAATTGTAAACTTTTTAATTATGTAGTTATAATCAAGTAGCTATAATTCAAAAATACGATAACACAGTAACAGTATAAGTCATAGTCTAAATCTATTAACATTTAAATTTTAGTAAGAATAAAATATTCTTATGCAAACGAACTAATTTTTCTTATGGCTGTTTTTGTTGCTTTGTTTTAATATAAATTTTGTGTTTACAGTGAAGTATTCTTATCGCAGAGCTCTTGTCAATTTTAAAACAAATTTCATAATAAATTAGTGTTCGGCTTATAAGAAATTGTTTCAAAAGTCCAATTCGACACTAGCTAGCATTCTTTCAATTGACTCTGCCTTTGTTACAGATTTCTTCAAACAAGCATTAAATCTCCTCCTATTTTTGGAAATTATTGTAAAAATTTTAATTATACTAACTAGTACACTTTCATTATTTATTTTCCAACTGAAATAGGTATTTGGGGTTGGACGATTAATTCGATTTGCACACGGAAAATTGTACGTTTGTAAAAGATTCAAACCAAAGAAAATTTCATTCTGCATCCACTGTTCACTCGACATTTCACAACTCAGAATACTCCTTGCAAAACGTAAAATAATAATAATAAAAAAGGAAAAATCGGGGGAACCGCTCACCTTGCACTCAACGCCTGGCGATAGATTTCCAGCATGACAGCCTCGTGAAGCATCATTTTGTTGAGATTATTTTGGGGCACGAAGTCTCCGAAGGTTAGATTACTTTGGCTGTTTGGCAATTAATTCCGTCTGCTCATTGATAGCGATGGATTTGTTTCGGGGCTGGTTTTTTGTTTTTTGTATATTTCTGGTTCCCTTCTGTTGTCACACTTCACTTCGAACATGCGCGAAAAAAACTGTGATTTTATTTTCGTTCACTAAATAAATTCTTGAGGTTCTGTATGTGTGTCAGTTTCGTGTTGAGCTTCTATCAAAAACACACACGTCAAATAAATCAAATGTCACAATGGTTCGTGGGAGAAGGGGACGATTTGGGGGGAGGCGGAGGACCACGGCTGATGACGAACGCGTGCGTGTGTGTGGGTGTGTGTGTGCGTGCGGTTGTGTGTTGCAGGCGTATTTGTTGTTTGTTATTGTTGTTGCGGTCAAACTGCCGCCAATTTCACTTCCTTCTGCTTCCTCTTTTCCTTTAGAACACAGTACAGCTGTGTGTGTGCGTTCGTTGGTGGGGCTATTAATTTGATGATTTATTGACGGCTTGCCACAAGATTTATGTTTATTTATTTCGACGCGTAGAACTTTCGGTCTTTCGTTTTTTGGTTAACTGTTTTCTGGACTTGCAATATTTCGGTGGTCGAGCGATGTACCGTTACTGCTGCACCACCCACCGTTCAGAAGGCTGGCAAAAACCCCAGCAAAATGAGAAAGTGCGACATGATTGCGTTCAGTTCAGTCGTCGACTAAAACATCTTTTTGACAATTGAATCGTTGAGAGCTGACAGCGAGCAGCGGCAGAGAGAAAGCAGAGAGAAAGCAGCGAGAAAGCAGAGAGCGGGCAGAGAGCTATCAAAATGAGTTGTGCGAGAGCGGGAGAGGGACTGCCGACGTTTCCCCATTAAATTGATATATGATATGAGAGTCTGCGAGAGAGTCAGTTCCCTCTCTTTTTTCTCTCACCGACGCCTGCGCTCTCCCTGTCCTCTCTCTTCACACTGCACTGAGAGCAAGGATTGCAGATTGGCAGGCGAGAGAGAGAGAGCAGTGTGTGACAGGTGTTTGTGTGGGGGCAGGGGGCCGGTCTGGTCTATGTGTGTGTGAGTGGGGGAGGGGTGGCATTTGTGTTTGTATTGCAGCTGGTCAAATGGCGACTGCGCTGCTGACGTCGACGGCGCTGCCGCTTAAATCAAGGTTATTTATTGAAATTGAAAATGAAGCAGTGTGCGGGAGGGTGAGACAGAGAAAGAGAAAGAGAGAATTGTTAAAGCACTTCAGGAGCATTAATTTTTGCGCTGCTTTTTTCCTAAAAAGTTATTGTTGCCTCCCCATCACCGCCCCCTTCATATGGCCATCTCTCTCTGGCATGCGTGACCCAGGGAACAATTGTTGCATGCACACCGCAAAAGGATAGCGAAACTCACTGTGGATGGGGGATGCAGATTTGTGCTTCAGGAAAATGTTCAAGAATTGGATGGACGACTTAAAGCTCACATTAGATACGTGTCTGATTTCTTTTCGATCTCTTTGCCCCCAATTTTCAGTTCCTTAACGCATACCCTGTCGTAATTATTTTCCAATATTTGTGCGCAGATAGCCATTACGCATCTTTATTAGTTTTGTGTTTCGTCTTCAGCGTTTCAAACTTGTCACAGAAAAATACAGTGGGAGACAAAAGTCTTAACAGTTTTTATTTATTCTCAGCAAAACAGGAAAAAATGGGTTGGTAAGTGACTAAAGTGTACAAGAATCTGAGATCAAATAACTAGCATTGAAGTCTAGCCACTTTATTTATCATTACAAAAACCACATCACTGTGGACGGCAGTACAAGTAGTGACGAAGGCGACTACTATTTACATATAGTCGCAGAATTCTAAATCTGATGTGATGGTCGGATCGGAAAGGTTTCGCTGTATCGGAGAGGATTACATAACAATACTAAAAAAAAATCCATTGGATTAGGAGAAGCAACGGTGAAAGTGGAAAATTAAAATTTCGCAATTAGAGCTGTTGGGGCCAGTAGGGCAAAGTGTTTGTGTTGAAAATTCGCGTCGAATGACATTCCACTTTAAAAGTTATTTAAAAAACAAGGGTTTTTGCTAAATCGTTATGCAAAAAAGAAATCAAATTGTTATTTTAAGATCCTGCAATTATTTATATTTTATTAAGCAGCTCTATCAAAGATAACACAGGCTAACAAAATTTTAAAAAATCCCGGACCCAAAAACTGGACCCACTTTTTCTTATGCAATTTTTCGCGCTGAATCCAAATGCGGTCCCAAAATAGTTCCAGCACCGACACAGATATTTTTCAGATATTCTAACCTAAAAGTGTGAAAATGGACGTTTTTGGCATATTTCAACAAGCTATATATTCGATAATAGAATTTAAAGAACTATAAAGTTTCTGTAAATAACTATTCTTATTTTAGTTTGGGCGTTAAGGGGTTCAATAAAAATATTAAAGTGACATTCTTTAAATGGTCATATCTCAGGAACGAATAATTGTATTTAAAAACTAAAAAAGAATTTTAAAGGTTAGGATGTGCACTTTGAGGTAAAATTGGTGCTAAGGCTAAAAAAAATGTTTTATGGATATAGGACCTTATAAATTATTCAATTATTATATCATTTAAATTTTTTTTTTTAAATCTTTTATTTGAAAATATGTCGGTATGAACCTGAAAATGTTTTTCTCTTTATTACAGCTTTTTCCTCAACAGATTAATGTTGTATAGTTTTTGGCTCACTTAAACTAACAGTAATGGTCAATCGTTGCCTGTGTTATAGCTTAATAACATTCGAAGTTTATAACAGAGAAAGTTAAGGAAGTTCAAAAATTGTATAGCCTTAGTTACAACAAGAAAAGAAGCAAACTTTGGCACGCCGAAGTTTAAAAACCCTTGCAGTTATTACAAATCGACTACATTTCGATTTCTATGTCTATATTACTAAAAACAAAGAAGCTATGTCGATTTTGAGCTGCATTTTGCCATCGCTTCTATGGCAGCTATATTGTATTGGTTGTCCGATTTGAATTTAAATAAAACCGTAATTCCATTATATTTAAATATTACCAAATCCCAAAAAACAAAACAAGAAAAAACAACAAAGTTATAATTTTTTTGAATTGTTTTTTCCGATTGTTCGTATGAGAGCTATATGATATTTATATGTTTATAAAAAGAATAATCGTTGAGTGTTCTTAATAAAAACAAGAGAGAACGCTATAGTCGGGTGCCCCGACTATCAGATACCCGTTACTCAGGTAAAGGGAGTGCGAGGGAGATGGAGATAGAAACTTTGATCACGCATAACTTTTTAACAAATGGTCCGATTTGAAAAATTTCTTCTACATTTCGATAGGTATTGATAAACACAATAAAACTGCATTTTTACTTTTCCGAAATATTTAAATTTTTAAAATCGTATATAAGCGATTGTGGGCGTTAAAGGGGGCGTGGCACCTTTTTGAAACAAACTTGCGCTGCGTAGGAACTCCTAGAATCTGCATGCAAAATGCCAATCTTCTAGCTTTTATAGTTTCCGAGATCTCAGCGTTCATACGGACAGACAGACGGACAGACAGACAGACGGACATGGCTATATCGACTCGGCTAGTGACCCTGATCAAGAATATATATACTTTATAGGGTCGGAAACGCTTCCTTCTAGCTGTTACATACTTTTGCACGAATACAATATACCCTTTTACTCTACGAGTAACGGGTATAAAAACCTGCACAAAAAACATCTTGTGGCCCTAAAGTTATAGCTTTAAATACATCAATACGGCACACTAGTATAAAGTGTCTTTTAACTGATTTCTTAATTACAATTTTTTACTTTACCTCTCTATTTTTCTTAACCAATAGACTTTGGAAAGTCTTAGCATCAACATCTAAAGAGTAGAACAATACCTTTTGGTCAATAAATAAAAAATTATGCGGAAAAAAACAACCAAATCGATAAAGTTGTTTAAAAAAAAGTTTTTTCGAGCTACCATTGACAACCAGTTTTGTCAAAGACAAAATAATGAAGGATATAAAAAATACAGTGATTTGTGTGGGGCTAGTAACACATAATATAATTTTTGCATTTTTGCAGTCAGATGAAAATAGTTAATTTTTGTTCCATGCACTTGGGTGCCTGTCGCCTTTCAGGCTGTCTTAAATCAATAGAATATGTATATCTGACTGAAATTGGATTGACAGGCGGTCGAATATCGCGACACCTGACAATTGTGGCCAAAATGCAGCACCAATTGCTGTCAGCCATCAAAACTTGGACACGTTGTGTGCTTTTGAATGCGTTTTTGTTTTTCGTGGACTAGAAATGTCATAATGACATAAAAGAATTTTGGCAATATTCATTTTTGCAGACTACTAGTTACGTGGGAAAAGGAATAATCACAATAAAAATTGAAATAATTTTCAAGCTTTTAAATAATAAAGAGTCTTAATTGTAATACAAACTACTCTTTCAATTGAATTGTTCGCATTCTTTATTCGCAGGAAAGTTTTCTGACTGTATACAAATCGTGGGAGACTTTAATCCTTCTGTTTAAATTTCGAAATTTGCGTTTACAGTGTTAATTCCAACTTAAGGCCGAGTGCGCAATTAGAAGGTAAACGGAACCGATAACCATGGTGACCAGCATCAGTGGAAACCCGATTATGAAGAAGTGACAGAAGGAAATCTTGTAGCCGTGCTGAAGGGCGATCAAGACGATTATCTCGTTGGAAACGGAGGCGAACAGGGATCCGTTTCCCCCGAAACAGGCACCGAACGTGAGGGCCCAGAACATGGGGGGCAGTGGAATGTCGTCCTTGCTGGCCATCTGGAAGCTGAACTTCAGCATAAATATGGTAACGGCCGCGTTGTCAATCAGGATCGTGAGTAGGGCGGTCGACCAGAGCAGCGTCATGGTGGTCACCGCCGTCTGATGCTGCGGCTCCAGGCTCGCCAGGAATACCACCGTCCTGTCCCCGAGCCATTCGAAGAATCCCAGCTGATCCACAGCCTCCGACAAGACAAAGAGCGCGGCGATGTAGAGCAGGCTGGTCCACTGGATTATGCCGAGGATGGCGTGCAGGTCGTGCTTGTTTTCCAGGATGATCAGCAGGAAGGCGGCCAGCAGGGTGACCCAACCCAGGGAGGCCCCGGCCGCCACACCGGGTATCGAGTGCAGGACCACGCAGAGCAGGGCGAAGGTCAGGGCGATGCAGCACTTGATCAGCAGCGGCCTGTCCCGGATCCGGCTACTCGCCTCCAAGGCGGCCAGCGTTTCCGCATAGTTATCCACGGGCTTGAACCAATACCTACCTGGCTGCCTTTCCTTCAGCCGAGCTATGCGTTCCAGGGTTGTCTGGGAGGGCGCCTCCTTCGCCCTGACCCGCTCCTCCATCAGATCCTGCTGATGTTGGTCCACCACAAAGATGCTCTTTCTGTGGGTGACGTACACTATTCCGAAGACCACGATCATGGCGACCAGCACTCCCGGCAGCATGTGTACGAAAAAGTTAACGAAGTCAACTCCTTCTGCCATCACCGCCGGATTGGTGGTTACGATCGCGTTTGGCGGATTTCCCAAGGGAGTTAGGGCGCCACCCATATCCGCGAATATGGCCACTATGACCAGCACGTAGGTGGTGCGCAGGGACATCTCCTCGCACAGTCGAATGGTTATCGGGGTGAGTGCCACAGCCATGATGTCGCTGTTCAGGAGGGCGGACAGAATGGCCGTCAGCATGCACAGGAAACATATCAGGGGCCAAGAACGACCCCTGGCCAGTCTATAGGTGCCAACGACCAGGTAATCGAAGACGCCAGTGGTGGCCATGATGTCCACAATGGTCATCAGCCCGAAGAGCAGCATCAGGGGCTCGAAGTTAACGAAGGACACAATCGTATGCAAGTTGGGCCGATGGTCCAGAACAGCGAGAATCGCAATGGCGGTGGTTGCGGTGATCAGAGCGGCAAAGGTGTGATCTATGACGTCGAAAATGATCAGCATATAGAGCCCGAGGATCAGGATGCCGGCGTAAACGACGCCCATGCCCGTGATGAGAGGGCCTGTATCCAGCACCATGTGCAGGGACACCGGGTGATCACACCTACTCTCCAGGGAGACCACCGCCTGCGCATCTTCCCCGCCTGCCCGTGGAATCCTGAAGTTCTTCGACACTTCGTCGTACTTCGTGTCATCGCTCTCCATGGCAATATTCCACATGTCCGTCCGGCGATATGTCTCATTTAAGTCGGAGCTGCGCCACTCCACCCGCAAGCCCGCCCCATACACTTGCTCATGCTCATCCGGAAACCTCATGTGAATCCAATCCACGGGTCCAAGCAGGGTGATCTTGATTCCATTGCTGGGCAGCTCCACCTTCCTGAAAGCAGTTTCGTTGGGCATCACGGTCACCATCGTGCTCCGCGGACTCTTCTCGGCGGCAAATGCGAACACAATGCATGTGCAGATAAACCACAGGAGCAACAGAATGCCCATCTTGACGATGTGAATGATGGATTTGTGGCGGGCAGAAAGCCGGTTCTGGCTATCATCCTGCTCCTGCACATTGGAGACCCCGGGAAACTGGGCTATGTGCGATGTGGTTCGGCGCAAGTACGGCCATCCCTGCGAACGGCGTTCGTCTAGGCGTCTTGGATTTAGGGCAAGAAAGGGATTACTTAGAATTTTCATTTGATATATGTATAAGTCAAACACGACTGAGTTAAATGATAAAACTGCTGCCTTGAGGATGAACACTTTAACCGCTTCGCGAAAACGATTGGATGCCTCTTATGAGAACAGGCAAGTTTAAATTGACCAACGCGCATTAAGTTAGTTTAAGAAGACCCCCCCATTCTCGATTTCAAATTTTGACGATTTTCAATGGGCTGGTAAATGTACATAGATTACTTTTTTAGGCTTGTAACTTTGCATCTATTTATTTGAAGTCTTAAAAAAGAAGAACAACATTTTCCACCATTTTCCAGCATTTTTTTTTTTTCATTAAACAAACGCCTAACTATTTTATGGTAAAATACTTTTGGGTATTTTCTGTAGAAGGTCTTTACATACTGAAGCTGTAGAATATAAATTCTTTTAGAAATGGGAATCTTAAAATTTAAAGAAAAGTAAAACCTTTATACTATAAACAAAATTAACTAACTAGTATACATAGATTGGAAATTTTCGATATTTTTTTATTTTTTTTTTTATTGTTGAACACAAGGTGATAGCACTTACCTAAACGCATTCCGTAATGTATTACATAAGAATTGAATAGGTAATTTAACGTCATAGGAATCGGTCACTGACCAATGCATTTTTTTGTTGTAATTCGTAGTCGTAATAAGCCGAATGCATTTGCTTCCTGAAATTCTGCTGCTTTTAAATTGCATTGTTTGGTGGTGGAGAGTAAAGTATTTTTTAGAAATTCCGACTTTCGTTAAACCCTAAGGCTTTTTGTTTAATTCTCCACTATACAAGGCAATCACATTCAGCTCAAAAACCTTTCTCCTTCCCTCAGCAAATGGCTGGCTGTCAGTCAGGCTGCTGCAATTGCATCCAGCAGGCAGCCTGTGGAAGCTGCCAATTCGCTGCCACAAATGTCATGTAACGCGTCCGTTTTTCTATTGCAACAGAAACATTTTTCAAGCCGGCAAAAACCGGTGGCTTTGTTGTTGTTGTTTAGGCAGCGGTTAACGTCACAAATCAAATTGACACACGATTTTTATCACAAGTTGCAACTTCCGCGCGACTCCACGGAATCATTTTCATACCCCCACACATCTCCTGTCCGTCTGTCAAAAAATGCAGAATGCAGAATGCTGAAAAAATTCCTGACACCTTTTTTCGGGGTGACGGACGCGTCCAGACGACGACCACAGCGACAGCGACGTCGCCAGAATGCCATAAAAATGCAGGCGCCAGTTCCTCCTCCATCCCACATGCTCCCTCCTTAAGCCCATGAAAAAAATGGAATTCGCTTTAAATTTAGACACAATTACAGATACGTTTCGTTGAACACTCAGATACATTTGCAGCTGAATGTAAGGCCAAAACTCAATTGGTTTGAATGGCAGCTACCTGGGCACTCAGTCCCCCCAATCGAGGTGGAGTCAAAAGTTAAATGGAATCTATCTAACAATTTTTGCACACAACAAATTATGGTTTTGGCAATTGTTTACGAGCTGTGGGTTCAAAGTACCTGTCAGAGTTGCTGGCAAATTTTCGGAACATTTTTGCACAGCCGCGGGTGTTTTTTCTATATTTTTCTAGGGATTTTAATTATTTTGGCTTGAACAAGAAATTTGTTATTTTGAAGGAAATAACTACACTATTTAAAAGCTTCAATGACAGAAGCAATTGTCACTCTTCAAATGTTTTTCAACATGCAGGGATACAATTTTAAATATTTTGTCTAAAATTCCACATTACACACAAGGGTCTTAAAATTACTTTAAAACGTGTCTAATATATTTTTACTGCGAACGTGCGATGTGTAAATGCCGTCAACAATGTATACTTTTACAGTCAGCGATTTTATAAGAGTTTCTTACAATAAAATTTAAAATGTCGAATAATTAAAAAAAAAATTTTAATTTGGTTCAAAATTTTGTTTTAGTTTTTAATTGTATGTATAATGTATCTATAATAACAAAATAAAAATAAAATAACCAATGTGAACTTCATTCATAACCAATAAAACTTCATTGTTTTATTTTACGGAGAGTGAACTTATTCATGAACTAATATTTCTGCCGTAAAAATCTAACAAACATTATTTTTAGGTGGGACTCAAATTTACAACTAACAGCAACATTATGGTAAGCTCAGCAAACATGTGCCACCATTCATCAAATGATGAAGGAGTAGAGTCCTTTTCGGATAAGCCCATCCCCTTCGACCGATTCATCTCTCCTTCTCTAACTGTCTAGCAGCATCAAGCCAGACGAAAACACAACTCAAAATACAATTCATCTGCATAAACATTTGTGGAGCAATTTAAAAACAAACAGAGCCAACCCGAGCAACAACAACAAGACAAATAACTCACAAAAAAAACCCGAGCAGGGTTCCAAAATGCATGTGAGTGATGCAGATAGATGAACTGCTTGCTACTTCCCCTTACACTTCTCAAGTTGAGTTTTCTGAAACCCGCTTTTGGGCTCCATATGTATATTGCCCAACAAATTAACAGGGGCACATGGAATAAGCAGCATCCTGATGATCCTGCGAATCCGTTAAGAAAAGGTTGTGGTTTTGGACAAGAGAGGTGCAGTTGTACATCAAGGTAATGGTGACAATGACTTTCTTGAATTGTAATCAGACTATGCTTTGAATTAAAAGACAACTAATTAATTTCTTAATTTCAATAAGTAGTTAAGCTCTTGATATTATAAAACAGAATAAAGAAACTGTTGATTTTCGTTTTTTGGCGAATGTTTGTAATTTTTGTGCGACATTCTTTTTCTTTTAACCAAGTTTTAGCATTACTCGACCATCCATAAGTATCTAATCTATTTCATTTATCCTACTTTTATTACTAACTGGCACCATAGTTTTTCGAGTGCAATGCTAACGATAGTCGTGTGACTGTTAACTACGCAATTGCCATTGCCAAAAAACAATGATGAGTGGGGGGGTGGAGAAAGTTTATGTTCGCATTGCTGCCTCAGAATGTGATGATTTTCAAATGTGGGCAAGGGCAAGGGGAAGGGGAAGGGCGGTGGGAATTAGGTGGTGGGAGTGGCACATAACGAGCCCAAAACACTAAACTCCGAAACTGAATGAATGAGTGTCAAGTGTGATATATCACCGCAAAAACAAGACCATAAGCATGAGTGATAAACGCTGTTGAGCTTGGTTAGCGCATTGCAACGCATTCACAACACACACCCGGCCCACACACACACACACTGTCACAAACAGTGTGTCAGCGGCACACACACATATGCATGCAGTCATAGTCATAGACATGTCAACATGTTGATGATGGTAACTAACTGGAGCAAGAGCCTCCATCAGACTCCTGCGAAGAGGGGGAGTTGGTAGCTGGAGCCGGGGCTCGGATTCGGATTTAGATTGGGAATGGGAATGGAAGTGGGAATGGAAGTGGGAGTAGGAACGGGCATGGCCATGGTTGTGGCAGTGAAACTGGCGCTCCAGGCCGGAGTTGCGTCTATGCGCGATAAAGCGATGAGCCACTGGCGGCGGGAGGAACAGCTCTAAAAACACACTAACTGCCGCACACTGCAACCAGAACTCTAGCATAGCATTTGAAATTAGAAGTTACAGACGACTTATTTAAGAGAAATTTGAAATCCCCTACTCCGGCGACTTAAGTATGGTAAGGAAATTGTTTTTGAGCGGTATATATTTAGTAGGTCAACATCTATCCACCCACAAAAAATGTTCCAAATCGAACAATTATTAAAATATTAAGAAATGACGGCAGTGCCAGCATAAACCTTTTTTATTTGCAAGTGGCTAACAGATTAAAGGGTATTTGACAGTCGTAACATTCGACCTTAGCCTTCTTTTTGAGATTAATTTAAAAAGAATAAGTCGCAATTAATAAACTTTTTATTTTGTTGTTCTGTGAGGGATTTTTGGTACCTTTAGAGCACTGTGCCCATTGAATGTTTTGTGCAACATACTGCGGCAATCACATGTGATGAACTGCAAAATGTCACGGGGCAGGGGAGCGGAAGGGGGATCGGATCGGGGAGATGGATTTCAGAACAGGGGAGCGCGCTGTGGCCGCTGTGTGATGATGTCCTCTGCCCCCGATGTTGTTGGCCTTGTTGTTCGGTTGCTGATGTTGATGTTGCTGCTGCTGTTGGTGTTTTGGCAAAAAGGCGTCAAGGCGTTTAAGCCGAAAACAAAAACTGGCAACTAGGAATTCATTGGCCAAAAACAATGCAATTAATTTCACTTACCCGTCACCGTTATGCTGCCGGTTCGTCCGTGAGTGATGATGATGCTGCTGCTGTGTCGTCTGTCTAGAGTTGAGTGTTGCTGCCGTGCTGTTGCTGTTGCTGCTACTGCCGGCCGATCCAAATCCAGTCCAGACTTTATACACTCGTCCAAACTCCAAAGCGAGGCGGAAGTGTCAACGAGGCGAGCCTTTCCACCGAGCGGTGATGAATTTCATAGTTGTTGATTTTATGATTGCCGTTTGCTGTTGCTTGTTTTTTGATGCTTGCAGTTGTTGTTGCCGCCGTTTGTCAGTGATGTTTCTAGGTTGGTGGAAAGGTACAGGTCGTTAAGATGTTTTGAGCTTTATGTGTACCTTCCATTGAATACTTATTCAGTATGATATTATTTAGAAAGAGTACGAGTCAGATTCCTAATACCATGTTAGGCATGCTTTTTCGGGAAAATGTATAATCCCAATATTGGGTTAATGGATTTTGAAATAAAATCATTTTTAGCTAAGAATTAAAAATAGTATATTATGATAATATGATCCCCTTATTAATTGTCATTAAGAATTTTACAATTATCAATACAATTACTGAGTAATGTCGTTTTTGGCATAAACGGCATAAAAGGGGTATTATTAAATAACTACTCTGTTTTTGAAGTTCAATTTATTTATAATTTACCTTTTCTTTCTTATTAAAACATTGTACTTGCCAAAAGATCTGAGCCAAAGGTACTGAAAATGAGTCTAAGTATTCATGAAAATAAAACCAAATAGTTA